TATTAGATACGAAATTGAATCTCCAACAACGATTCCGTCGATTTTGTAACTTTCATTCTGCAATTCGTTCACCCAAATTTCGGAATGTCTCATCAAAATCGAAGTATTCATCTTGAAAAATCCACTGTAACAACAATAAAATTACTGTAGTTCGAAATTTAACAGATTGTTCAAAAAAATTATTTTCAAAATAGATGATATAATCTTTGTTTTTCAAAATTTGAAATTGATATCCAATTAAGTGCTGATTTTATGTTGATTAATGATATGTTACCGTAAATTTAGTTGTTTTATTACCAACATTTACTGTACCATTTTTTTCCCTTTTTTTTCTCAACAGTTTAAAATTACCATGTATCATTTACCATGTATCACTAGAGTCTAAAGTATCACGGCTCAACAAATTTAAGGAATTTTTTGTAAATACTAAATTTGTCGGGACAGAATGAAATTATTGAATTACACTATGGGATTCCTTAAATTTTTACTAAAAATTAAGCACAAAATGGCCCAAATTAATTAATGACATTTTTAAAAAATTTTTTATCTCGTATAACCAAAATCACTCAAAAACAAAAATAACGAAAACATACAAAATTATACGTACAATACGTAACTGCATAACAATTTTAAATTATGTACTTTTTTATATATTTTTTATTCGTTATTTGATATAAAAAAAATTCAATTGTATACTTGATGATATGTAGAAGAATGGTGTATTCATTCACTTAGTATTACTATATATTTATAGTTATGGTATCCCGTCCAATGTATACATATTAAAAATTAAACACTTTATATATTCATTCACTCATAGTATGTATACACTGCATTGAATCCCTTTTTTTTTAATTAGGAAGATCATGTATGCATATATCCGTGTATTTATTCTCTTAATAACTGTATACATTTCAAATTCTTTCTTCAAAAAATAAGGATTGCACATGAAATATAAAATGCTCAATGGAAAACACACAAGTTGAATCGGATAATGAGAAGAACTTACATGACTATAAAATTTAGAGTTATGGACGGAGAATCCACAAAATTAGAATCAGAATCCCCAATTTTATGAATAATCCTAGGATAAGTTTCTTAAACATGACAATTGATACCCATAATTAATTACTATTACCTAAATTAGATATAACCTTCCATTTCAAATTAAAGCATAAAAAAAATCGAACGACAATACAAGAGGGGGTCAAAAATAGGCTAACAAGTAGAGAAATTGATGGGTAAATATCAACAAACCATCAAGAATTTGAAAGAGAAAGAGAAAAAATAAACTATGAATGAATATTTTTATAGAGTTCAATATGTAGAACTAATAAATAAGAAAGCAAATCATCTTTTAATCGAAGTAATGAAGAAGATAATCAACAAAGAAACATGATTTACAAGAATACGTATATGTATGGCATAGAAGAGAAAAAAGTGGAGAAAAAAACTACTTCTCAATAAAAAAGGACATCGTGATACCACTTTTTAAAATTATTAATTTAGAACCAACATGTTGAAATGATATCAACTTATTATGATTATGTGATTTAATAATATATAAATACATATTAATTAATCTTTGATAAGAGTAGAAGTTTATAAACAAACGCATATCGTGCCATTATTAGTTTGATATACACATTCCTTTACTGCAATGGTTCTCTTATTGCAAATCTTTTTTTTTTAGAAAAAAAAAAAGTGAAAAATGTTGTTTTGAGATTATGGTCGGACTCGGACCTATCGTGAGAAGTAAGGGTTTGTTAGAACACAACAATCTTAATCTAAATCCAATATATATTTTTTGAGATATTCACTTAATATATATACATATAATAATGAGGAACTTTCACATATAACTATTCAAAAATAACTTAATTACTCTCCATAGCTATAGTTTGATAATTACAATCCGTAGATATACGTTAGAGGTAGGAGAAAGGCGAGGGAGACTGGGAGAGAGGGAAAGCGAGTGGGAGAGAGGTGAATTGTATATGTATATATACATATGCATATGCATTTATATGGCGAGTTTGAGAGAAGAAGGAGGGAGGCGGGCGAGACCGGGAGAGGGAAGAGAGATGCGAGCAAGGGAGGACAATAATTTGTATAATTCGCATCTCGTTTGTATAATTCGCAGTACATTTGTATAATCACGTGTTTTTGTATAATTAAGTAACATAAAGTCTGTAATTATACAAATATAGTAGTACTCAAAATAACACAAACATAAATATATGAACTTTAAACAATTATATAAAATATATTATACTAATTACGTTATATAAATCATATTATAAAAAATTCAAAAACTACACGTTTATACAAACTTTAAAAAGTTATACACAAAAAAGATTGAATGTATATGATGACAAAACTGAAAAAATCAAAGGACATCTTCGTCACAAACAATCGTATACAATACAAATCATACAAAGAATTGTTACTTGTGAAGTATACAAATGTGGCGAATTATACATATACAAACGTGATTGATTATACAAACTCAAGTCAAACCACATATTAAATGTATAATATTAGTCGTGAATGATAATTATAACAACTATAACTATGATGAATAATTAAGTACTATTCGAGACCTATTAGTACTTAAATCCTCAAATCCCATAAAAATAAACAACATATGTATCATTGTCAATGCTATTCCTTGAGGCTTATTATATCACACAACATAATAGTAACCCTACTAAATCAAACAAGAACAATATCCCAAAGTTAGGTCAAACAAATAATCCAAAACAACAATACTTAAACATTATGTTATTGACTTCCAAATTTTAAAGTCTCTTTCCCTCTACTTCAAACCTCTAGTAGATTTTCCCCCCACACTTTTGATGACTTTAACATTTTGTTGACCATTCTTACTGCTAATATTTTTAATCTGCTTTCTGGAAGTATCGATCTTATCATAACCAGTAATGGGAGTTTGTCCAGACCTTAAACTTTGTGTCCAGTCAAATTTTGGTAGACGTGTACTAACCATTCCCTCCATGTTACTCGACACCTTATTAGATCTCGGACGATGTGCTTCTTTCTTGGTTTCTTTTATTTCAATCTTAGTCCCTCCTTCCATCTTTATATTTATATTCACTTCAGAGAGAGCTTTAGTAGTCGTACCTCGCGTAATATCTCTTGTACCATGATCATCAATTGATAATGATTTCTTTGTGTTATTTTCCTCTTGATGTTTGTAAAGCCTATGTAATCTTAGTGCTAATTGGCAAATTCCTTCTTTAATTTCATCCTCTAAATCCCTCTCAACATCCCTTTCGAGCTCTCCTCTAATCTTCATCTCAATTGAATTCATCTTTTCAACTAAATGCAACAAAGAAAAAAAGATATTAATTATAACTTAATTAGTTACGTAGCCTATTATCATAATCACAAAATAAATCCATCAACAATTAATAATATGCAAATAAAAAAAAAAAAGAACCAAATGCACTTACATAGACAACTTTTGGAGTAGTATACACATTAATAGTTCATACTGAATCTTATGATAAAGTTTATTGGTTTTCTAGTAGATTTTTATATGACTAAAAATTGATGTAGACTTTTAGAGTTTTGATTGGCCACCAGCCATTTAAATTGGACTGAACAAGACATGAAGGATAATATTTAAACATGAAATGACAGTTAAAGGTAGTTATTTCAGTTGGATGATTCAAAATTAAGTGCCAAATATCACATGATATAATTGGAATTTTTGGAGGGATTTAAAAAAAAATAAATCTATGGATTTTATTAGAAAGTTTGTGTATCTTTTTCTCTAACTACTTGACTTGAAAGACATTTATTTTGGTGTCAACTTAAAGTAAAATCATGTATTTTTTTTTCTTTTGTAGTAAACTATTTTATCAATGTACATTTCACTATTGAAAGAAGCTTTTGGAATTCACTAATTTGAGTCTCAAGCTTAGCTTTATAATTGGTGATGTAACACTTTCTAAAATATTATTCTTACTAGAGTTATTTAAGTAATATTCACAAGGGAAAAGGGTCTGATATACCCCTCAACTTTGTCATTTAGAGCTGATATACCCCTCGTTATAAAAGTGGTTCATATATGCCCTTACCGTTATAGAAACGGTTCACATATACCCCTGTTGTTGCAAAATGGCTCACATATACCCTTCATTTAACGCAAAATAAAAAATTAGTTTTAAATTTATATTTCTTACTTCTAATTTTTTAAAAAAAATTATTTAGGGGTATATATGATTCTTTT